CTTCTCGTCCGACACCAGTGCCTGACCTCACAAATGCGTTTCTAGAAGAATGGTCAAACATTCCCATAGGCACACTCCTTAACCTTGTGGACAGTCTTCCCAGAAGAGTTGAAGCTGTTATACCTGCAAAGGATGGGCCAACTCAGTATTGAACCCTCTGGACTAAGACTGGGATGCCATTAAAGTTCTTGTGTGTAAAGGCAGGCGTCCCAATACATTTGGCAATATAGTGTGAGTATATATATATATATATATATATATATTATATTATTTATTTTTTTTTTTTTTTTTTTTTTTTATGAGTATCCATGTTTGTGTTTATGAGCAATAAAGAGTGTGACACAGAGCACTAAACGTGGTATTAATATTTTGAGATTTTCTCGCCTTATAATGATGAGGACTGTGTGGATGCATGTGAAATTAAGCTGTGGGGGATTCCTTGTCCATAAGTGGTAACAATATTGCGGTGATGCTGGAAGTTATATCTTTCATATTATTGAACCTCTTATAAAGTGGAGGTTTCTAATGAGGTGAGCAGACTCACAAGCACTAGCGTTGGAAGCGTTGGAAGAGGTACACACCAAGGCACTGGTAAGAAGCAAGAACAAATCTTTGAACTGGATTTTGATTCTTTCACTATTTGAACACTCTTCACATTGACTTTGGTGTGAAAAGGAGACTGATTTTTGTTTTGTTTTTGTTGATGTCACAGTATTTATTATTACCACTTTTGTTTGTTTGTTTTTTCTAATTTGGAAGCTGTATAGATTAAGCACTGCACTATTTGATACCTTTTTATTTGTTCACATGTTGACCTGTGCATGATACAAAGTGCTGGTACACTTTCACTTCACACATTTTATTGCAGACACATTTTTTATTACTCTTTCACTAATATAAGGAGCATTCTTTGCACTGGCCACCAATGTAGGGAGCATGCTTCTCACTGATCACAGATACAACAGTGCATTCTTTTTACTGACCAGCATGGCAGCTCTTCTCCCATTGGCCACTAGAGTTGTGTGGTTAATGTAAGCTGTAGATAAAATAATTTTTAGCAGGTGTTCCCTGAGGTCTCTCATTTCCAAAACAGAGAATAGAGCAGTTTGTAGTCCAGCAGAGAGGTCAGGGTGACAACACCATAGGCCACTTTGATCCTGGTTCTCTTGGCTTTCCTTTGGCAATTGATCCCTGGTTCACTGGAGAGTACATTCTGTTGTCCGGTTTGGGAGTTCAGTATAGCAGGGGCAGCACTGTTTAGGCAGGCTGTTGACACCACATCTACTGATATCCACAATGTGGGCAACCCTGCATTTTATCGGGGGAGAAAGTCATCACCTGGTAAAATATGGTGGCAAACTGAATGTTATATCAGCTGTAAATTCCCACATGTCTTGTTGTATTGCATGGTATCTGCATTGGTAACATCAGTTTTAAAAAACACCACCTTTTTTCATTTAAGATTCAATAAAATGTCTTACTAGGATTTGCCAGTAATGACAACTGTGGAAATGTAAAAGTTGATTATTAGAACACAGAACTTGGGATAACCTAGAAATCTGGCGATTAAAAACCTCAGTAAAGCAACAGTCTGTGCAAGCAAAGGGTGTCTGAAAAGGTTTGAGCAGAACGTTCTTACTAAATAATTGGCATGTAGGGACTTGTGTGACTTTGCAAAGCATATGGGTTCAAACAGCTGCCTAATAAGTAAGATCATAGATCACAATCTTCATGTTGTCAGAAAGTTTTGACAGGACAGCCATTAAACTTGCAGATTTGGTTACTTAATGAGCTAGCATATTCTCTCAACTATCAGCCCTAATCACTAGGGACATGTATCCTTTCCTCAGAAAGCTTAGCTCCAGGAGGAGATGGGGAAAAAAAGATCTTCATTACCATGTATTTCAAGATATTGAGGGGAATTCACTAACATGGGCTGTGCATGGCAACCAATCAGCTTCTGGCTTTTTTTTTTTGGAAAGCCCAAAGTGTTCAACTTTGCAGAAAAAAATGTAAAGGCGAACTAAAGTCAGCTATACGTGGATCGAAATTCAGCTGCTTCTTCAGGCACCGGCCAAATTTCGATGCATGTATGGGCAGGCAGGCAGGCAGGCAGGGCTGATACTAGACTATTCTGCACCCTAGGCAAGACCAGCTACTGGCACCCCTCCCGTCCAAAAAAAAAAAAACTTCAAAATAAAACTCTACACAGAGTTAGTCCTTCCCAACGTTCGCTCCATGTGGAGGCTGACTGGAGAGCTGGGAGGAAGTGGTGTTGCAAGCAGCACAGCTTGCGTGGCACCTCATTGACTGGATACCTCTTCTTCACAGATTGGCTGAAGTTTGCAGGGGACAGCTTCATCTCCATCTAACATCATCCAATCCTGTCGGAGGACAGTGACACCAAGACCCAGAAGTGACGTTTTACACATTGCTTCCAGGTCATTAACAGAAAGGCAAGATCAGTGAACAGGTGTTCCCTAATCTCCCTCCCTTCTATCGGTGGCTCCCACCATGCAGGTCCCAAGTCCACTGATGGAAGCATGGAGCCTGGAATGCATAGCAGGGCACATGGGGTTGTGGAAGCGATCTGGAGGCTGCACAGCTATTGGATCATTTCCATCTGACAGTCGGCCTGTCAGATTTACACACACTCAATGAGATGCTTCCAGTTAGTTCTTGTATACTCTTGTGCTTGATGAACATTAAAAATGTGCAGCTGAGCCACACTTTTACCACCCCCCAACCACTCCCCATTATGCTGCAAAGGCACCGCCACTGTAGTACAGCAGTGGGGGGGTTTTACAAAAACACCCCACCACTATTGCCATACTACGGCGGCAGTGCCTTTGCAGCATAATGGGGAGTGGTTGGGGGATGGTAAAACTGTTGCTCATCCGCACATTTTTAATGTCTCAAACACAAGTGTAAATAAGAACTAACAAGAGGCTTCTCACTGTGCTTATGTGATTGTCATCATTATCATGATGATGATCACACAGTACAGGAGGTGCTGTATATCTGTCTCTATACAGTGTATGGCTGTATCTCTGTCTGTGCCTCAGAATACAGAAATTGTGAGTTTGCCTGTGCACTGGGTTCCCATTGCTGCCTGTGCCCTCGGCCACCTCTCTGTTGAATTGCCTCCCAGCGCGGGCTACAGCCTCGCCTTCTGCCCTACTCAGCAGAGGAATGGATAATCAGTCCGGCAGTGAAACTCTTTGAGCAGTCGCTGCCGGGCGTCACTGATCAGCATTGGAAAACGCAGCACAGCTTTAGAAGCCTGCGCCTGAAATTTAAAAAAAGAGTCCCTCTCAGCTCCTCACCTCCTGAGCCCCTCTGGTGAACTGATGGGGCCCAGGGAAAATATAATAATGTTGCATCAGTGCCAGATGTACTGCCTATCGGCGGTCCTGGCCATGGCTGCGCCCTAGGCCGCCTAGGATGCCTATGGTAGCACCAGCCTTGCAGGCAGGTTGTACACAATCAGATTCTTTTATCAGCTTGTGTACAACTAGGCTGTTGGACAGTTTTCTCTTGGTGAGCTGATCAGTGTATTCTGGTGGTGGGGAAGTCTCCTCAGTGGAAGGATTCTCTCATACAAGTGTGTGAATGGGGGAATCAAGTCATTTTCTTATGTTCAACTTGTTTAACATAAAAAAAAATAACTCATGTATGGCCAGCCTAACGCTGTACACCCTCTCTGCCCCCCCCCCCCATACCCGTCCCCACTGTACTGGGAATGCCAAGCTGTCAGTGCCCATGCAGCTGGTCCAAAGGGTCATATGATCGGAAATCTCCACTCTTCTCCCTCCTCTCTGTGCAGCACTTCCAAGATGGACCAGAGCGATTCATAGAGCATTTCACTGATCTTAAATATCTCTTTGATTGAAAGGTATATTATTATATTGAGTGAAATATTTCATGCAACTAGTGTATATTATTGGTTTATATCAGGGTAGGCTACCTTTAGAAAGTTGGAGACCTACTTGGACAATATGGAAGAAGTCAAAGATCATGGGAACACAGTGTTGTCCAACGTCACCTCCTCACTGCCTGAATTAATCATATAATTGCCATACTACCGCACTGCAATCATGTGCATTGTACGGCAATTATACATTTTGCCTCCTCACTTGGATAGCTTTTCAGAGATGAGCAGCAGTGCCCATTGCACTTGTGAATGAGCCCTTAGTTGCATTCGGCGGTGGCACCCTTAGGGCTCGTTCACACCTGAGATAGGGGGTGAGTGGGGATGATAAAACCCTGCAATTAACTTGCGGTTTTACCACCCGCCATCACTACCCCCCCCCCCCCCTATCTGCAGAGGCAGCAGCTGAGGGTGTACAGATGCTGTGGCAGGAATTATACCCCCTGTCGCTTTTGGCAGATGCTACTGTGAACAGGGCCATTTTGCAAGTGCTCCGCAACCGCGTTCAGTGCATGCAGTTTCAGCATGCTAGCGCAGGGTCCAGGGATTTAAAACAGGTAATGAGTAGGAGATGCAACACTTCCTCACCGCCTGCTTTAACTCCTGCTTTAACTCATGTACATGAGAACAGAGGCTCTCTCAGCTCTCTCAATTCTCATTGGCTCAGACACAGCAGTGGGAGCCATTGGTTTCTGCTGCTGTCAATTTGAGCCAGTAAAGAGGGAGGGGGCGTGGCCGAGACATGCTCTGTTTGTTTTATGGATTGTGGCTGTTCTGTGCAAAACCATTGCACAGAGCAGGTAAGTATAATATATTTGTTATTTTAATTTTAAAAAAAATGACTGTTTACAACCACTGTAAGTAATACAGTCACATTTTGTTTTGGTGGTGATTCTGAGTTATTATTCTGAAGATTTCAGACTCTGTTTAGCTGTATATATAATATGTTTTAGGTGAATATTATCACCACTGCTAAGGATTATTATTATTGTTAATACTAATTGCAGTTATTGATCATTACTTATTAAACTGTTTTTAGGTAACGAGATATATCCTGATACACACCAACATGTCTTCTGACTCTACTACTCCACCTCAACCTCTTCAGTCGCCAAAATCGCCAATCACCCCATCCTACCCTTTTCATAGGGAGGGAAGTCGACTCTGGGAGAGGAATCATCTTCTTTTAGGAGAGCTGCCCAGCCCACTTCCAACTAAAAGAACCCGAACATATTCTGCGTATGTATCTTAGAAGTTTTCTCATCATTTTATGTTGACTTTTAAGACTGACCTATTGTATAAAAAGCAAAAGTTAAGGGGAACTTCTGACAAAAAGTGAATAGGATTTGCTATTGCTGACAAGTTGGGGATCGGCAATGACAGCATCCACGATTCTCTTTCTGCCTTTAAAGTGTTACTAAACTCAGGACCCTGCATTCACTATATACAGTGTGGAAAATAATGATTTGATCCCCTGCAGACTTTGTAAATTTGCCCACTTACAAAGAAATGAAGGGTCTATAATTTTTTAGCACATGAAACACATGATACAAATGTTATAAATTGAGTTGCAGTTCAGTGAGTAAAATAAGTATTCAAACCTCAAGCAAAACATGACCATGACTTAGTACTTGGTAGAGAAACCCTTGTTGGCAAGCACAGAGGTAAGATGTTTCTTGTAGTTGGTTAGCAGGTCTGCACACATCTCAGGAGGGATTTTGGTCCACTGTTCTTTATAGATTTTCTCTGTCGCTTGGCAACTTGAAGTTTTGGCTCCCTCCATAAATTTTTTTATAGGATTAAGGTCTGGAGACTGGCTAGGCCACTTCATGACCTTAATGTGCTTTGTCTAGAGCCACTCCTTTGTTGCCTTAGCAGTATGTTTTGGGTCATTGTCATGCCGGAAGACTTATCCACGACCCATCTTCAGTGTTCTGGCTGTGAGAAGAAGGTTCTCATCCAAGATTTTACAATACGCGGCCCCGCCCATTGGCCCCTCAATGCGGCAAAGTCGGCCAGTGCCTTTAGCAGAGAAATAGCCCCAAAGCATAATGTTTTCACCTCAGTGCTTGACTGTAGGAATGGTTTTCTTAGGGCCATAGTCAGCATTTTTCTTCCTCCAAACATGGTGTGTGTCGAGTTAATGCCAAAGAACTCAATTTTGGTCTCATCTGACCACAGCACTTTCTCCTAATCCTTCTCTAAATCATTTAGATGTTCATTTGCAAACTTCAGATGGGCCTGTACATGTGCCTCCTTGAAAGGAGGACCTTGCGGACGCTGCAGGATTTAAATCCATGTATTGTGTTACCAATGGTTTGTTTGGTGACTGTTGTCCCAACTGCCTTGAGATCATTCACAACCTCCTCCCGTGTACTTCTGTGCTGATCCCTCACTTTTCTCATGCTCATCCTTACCCCATAAGGCAAAATTTTGCATGGAGCTCCAGACCGAGAGCGATTGATGGTTATTTTGTATTTCTTCCATTTGCGAATGATTGCTCCAACAATTCTCTCCTTCTCACCAAGCTTCTTGAAGATGGTCTTGTAGCCCATTCCAGCCTTGTACAGCTCTACAATCTTGTCCTTAACATCCTTTGACAGCTCTTTGGTCTTACCCATGGTGGTGCCCAAGAAAGAAATTCTGTGGACAGATGTGTTTTATACACATACGTTGTCCTTAGGAGCACCTTCTTAACTTGCCAGTACTAATCTGTGTACCACATAAGCACATAGACAGTCTGTGGGAGCCAGCATTATTGTTGGTTGATAGGGGATCAAATACTAATTATAAAAATTTGTATCATGTGTTTTTTCTGGATTTTTGGTTGATATTTAAAATACACCTATGATAAAAATTATAGACCCTTCATTTCTTTATAAGTAGACAAACTTACAAAATCCGCAGGGGATAAAATGATTGTTTTCCCCACTGTATGGTCTCCCATAGTACAGAGAACATGGAAATGCAATTATTTTAGTCAATATAAACTGCTAAATACCTTTTCTCATCAGCAGTATATAGCAGTCTTGTGACTTCTATCAGTGTCTAGCTTAGCACTGGTCAAAGCTTGCAGGAGGAGTTTTCATTTTGCTCTGATTTTCCTATGAGGCTGCATAACCCCTGACCCTCTGTCTGGACAGTGCTGATTAGCCCTGTGCCAATCAAACGCACCCACCCAAAGAAAAAAAAAACTTTCTAGCAATACACACTAAACTGAGCATGTGCAGAGTTACTCCTAGAGCTCTGTAACATCATTGGGGACAGTAGAAGAAGAGAAGGATCAGAGAAGACAGGATCAAATAGCCTTTTTACACAACACAGAGGATTAACCCCTTAGGTTCCACAGTGAGAATAACAAGCATGCTTTACTGTATATATAGACTTGTGTGGGTAGTAACACTTTAAGGTTTAGTAACACTTTAAGTAACAAAGTACAATATGTAAAACCTTTATCAAATGTGCAGCAATCTGTTGTATGTCAGGCATACTTATACTTTTTGCCCCTAACCAATAATTTTCCTTTTCTAGTGATTTCTTTAAAGACCAGCACTAAAACTAAACTCTCTGTTCCCTTTAACAGATGGTGGACATACATGTATACACTTTTTTTTTAAATGGGTATTGTCTTAACATTTGTTTAAAGGACACTTTCTCTGGTGTCAGTGCTAACCCTTTCTAAATTTGCTAGTTCACTGGCTGTTATATTAAACTTTAGGCTTTATAAGCCACTGACCTTGAATAAGTACACAGATCAGAGTTCTCGCTTCTCTCTGACTTCCTTTTCTGTATACATGTTCTGAGTAAGTAAGTGAGCAAGAAAGCCAGATTATCAGAATGACAGCCAAGTAATTAGAATTTCTAAAAGATGTCATCAATGATATCCACACATTTTTTTCAGACAGATTTACTTTTAGATTTTGAAGCAGAGCACTTAAAAGCTAACTTTGAGCGATTATTTTATTAGTTTGGCTGCAATACTTACCTTTAACCAGGAGTTGTCCCAAAGTACCTATAATTCTCTGCAAGCTATCCTCAGTCTGGGCTGAATGACTCCATTATCACTCCACCTGGAAGACTGAGGAAAAACTGGGCATGTAGGGCAGCATGTCCCTGAGCAGAGCCATGCACTCCTAGTGCCAATCTCTGTATCATCCAGGACCATCCACTGCCAAGAGAAGACTAAAGAGGACCAAGAGCCTCATGGTGACCGGCCAGGAGAAACCAGAACAAGGTAAGTATAAAACATACCATTGGCAGAGGCTCCAGTGATGGGAAAGGGGTCTTCTGGAGGCTGGGGAAAGTACAGTTCTCAGAGTTGGGCTTTAATATCTATTTTTGTAGTTTCTAAAACCTTGATAAAAATGTGGCAAATTATTGTTACTTGAATATGACAGAATTATGCCCATAACTACTTAGTAGTGTTTTAATAACAAAGGTGATAGATATTGGATGGCAGCAGCAAACCTCTTAGGATTTTTTTTTCTTGTTAGGCTCCATGCATACTGGGCGTTTTAATAACGCTGGTAACGTTGGCTGTGTTTTTCAGCGTTTCTAGCAGTTTTTTTACAAAAAATAATTTTTTTTTCCAAAAACACTGGTTTGTTGTGTTTTACCATGTTTTGCCGCGTTTTTCAGCTTTAGAGCATTTTTACAGCTAAAAAACTCCTCTAGAAACCCACTAGTTTTGGGGTTTTTTTCCAGCCAAAAAATGTCCCTGCCAAAAAACGCTGATTACAGTTTATGTGTCCATGGACACATAGGATAATATGCTGGGGAGATTATTGGCTGTAAAAAAAAAAACGCCAAAAGACAAAAACAGCAGTTGTAAAAATGTCCAGTGTGCATGAGGACGTTATGTCCTTACTCCCACCAGACAGCATTAGGGTTGATTTACTAAATCTGGAGAATGCAAAATCCAGTGCAGCTGTGCATGGTAGCCAATCAGCTTCAGCTTGTTCAAAAAACTTCTTTACATGTCCTTGTTACTGATTTCCTACCTTCACTGAATATATCATCCATCTTCTGGTTCACTTAGTAGTTGCTCTGAAATAACATATTAATTTTCAAATCAAACAGTTCATTCTCTATGGATTCCTGTTTGTAGGGCTGGTGTCTGCTATGCCTCCTATTTCCCCAGCCACTGGTCTTGGCACATCTCTTCTGTATTTCTATCTCCAGGAAGCAGTGATGTAATTCAGCCCCACTTACAGTGGTGGGCGAACTGAGATTCTCAGACACATTCAACATGTACAGGCCTAGTGTACCCACCCACATTCACTACAGTTCCCTGTGGTTGATGGGAACTGTAGTTTCCTTTTACTGCAGAGAGAGAGGACAGGATATGATGTAATCCCTGCTGTTACACCTCCTCCTTGGCAGAGCAGATGCTTTTATCTTTTGAATTACATAGATGAGGTCATGAAAATTCAATTAAACTTTCTCCTAAATGGTAAGGATTTTCAAAATGTTATTAACTGTTTAGTGTTTTGTGTAGGGGGGTGTACTAATGGATGATTTTTTTGCCTATCCCAGAGTTCTTCTTTAAGCTTTGACAATAAAACCTGGAAACTGATTGGTTTCTATGCAGAACTGCATCAGATTTTGCACTCTCCAGCTTTAATAAATAAACAGCAATGAGTATTTGAAAGCCCCCCATTTGATTTGACTTGAATGTCAAACCACAGGTCAGTGCACCCAAGATGCAACATGCAATGCTTTTTCCCAAACTATTACAATGGAAACTGGTGGGAAAAGACTGCTAAAATGTAAAAATGGTTCTGACTTCCATGCATTTTGTTTTTGCTGGAAAACGTGGCATTTGGTGAAAAGTAGCCCTTATAGGGGGATCGTGTTATGTGGTATGGAATAGGGTGAAAAATCTTCATGATTTAATTGCACTTTGGTTAATCTAAAAATAAATGTTGAAAGAGAGAGACTGCATTGAGTTGTTCTTCCACATGTCATTCACATCCACATAAGTCTAGGCTCACACGTAAGCGATTTCTGCAGCGTTTTGCTTTTTTCAGAAACACACAGCAGTCCATTTAACATGATTTCCTATGGGACACATCTCCGCGTTTTCACCCGGTGCATTTTTTGGAAAGGGTCAGGGACTTTTTTTAATGCAAAACATTGTGTTTTTGGTTCTATAGACTTCAATGGAGGCGCTGCAGAAAAGCATGTAGTGCATTTTTTGCTGTGTTTGTGCTGCGTTTTGTGTTTTAATCTGCCTAGCAACAAGAAAAAAATTAAAAATGTAAAAAAAAAAAGCAAAACGCATAAAAAAATGCAAAACGCACCGCAAAAAACACTGCAGAAAGGGATCAAACGCAAACTGCATAGGTGTGAACCCAGCCTAAATGTATTACTTGTCAATCAGTGTTTGCTATTATTTGGGATTTGTTACTTATCCCTTAGTACCTCATCCACATTTGATCATGGTGATTTGACTGTATATATCTCTGACGTAATTTACAATGGTCTCTTTTAGCACTGCCCGGGCTTCTGCAGGACCTATTTACAAAGGTGTCTGCAAGCAATTTTCACGGTCCCAGGGACATGGGTTCATCACTCCTGAGAATGGAACGGAAGATATATTTGTGCACATTTCTGAGTAAGTGTTCTGGCTGTTTGTGGCTCAATTTGAGTTTATTTATCCATAAAACAACGTCTGTTATCTATTATTGGCAAATATTGGCTAAATACAGATGGCATGTGTATTCTTATTTAACCGCTTGCCCGCCGCCCTATAGTAGAACTACTGCTACAGGGCGGCAGGGCTGCGCAAAATCACATATATATGTGATTTGCATTTCCGGGTAGGGGGCGTGAGTGCTGCCCTAAATGCGCCGCCATTGGCGGCTAGCAATGTCAATCACCGGGTCTCGGCTGGAGATTCCCCACTGGCACCTGGCGATCGCCATGTAGAATTAACAGGGGAGAGACCTGTGTGTAAACAACACAGGTCTCTTGTGCCTGCAAGGACATGCTGCTTTCTATTTCTCTGCACAGCAGAGAAATACAAAGCAGCATGTCTCTGTAATAAAACAGTAAACAGCACACACAGTGAAACACACACAGCACACAGTTAACTTTGTTCGCTCAAAAGTTAACCTCTTCCTGCCCAGTGTCATTAGTACAGTGTCAGTGCTTTTTATTAGCACTGATCACTGTATTAGTGTCAAAGTGCCAGTTAGTCACTATCCACTCAGTGTCAGAACGCCCGCTGCAGTCCCGCTATAAGTCGCTGATTGCCACCATTATACTGTATACACCGCGTTCCAAATTATTATGCAAATTCTATTTAAGTGTCACAAAGATTAAATATTTTGTTTTTCAGTTTAACTCATGGATGGCATTGTGTGTCAGGGCTCTTTTGATCACTGAAAACAATCTCGAACACTTGTGATAATTAGATTGGCCGGTGAGCCCAATTTAAGGAAAAACTACTAAAGGAGGGTGTTCCACATTATTAAGCAGAGTACCATTTTCAAGCAATATGGGGAAGAAAAAGGATCTCTCTGCTGCTGAAAAGAGTGAAATAGTTCAATGCCTTGGACGAGGTATGAAAACATTAGATATTTCACGAAAACTTAAGCGTGATCGCACTATTAAGAGATTTGTGGCTGATTCAGAGCACAGATGGGTTTGTGCAGATAAAGGCACATTGAGGAAGATTTCTGCCAGATCCATGCATAGGATCAAAAGAGCAGTTGCTAAAATACCATTACATAGCAGCAAACAGATATTTGAAGCTGCTGGTGCCTCTGGAGTCCCACGGACATCAAGGTGTAGAGTCCTCCAGAGTCTTGCAACTGTGCATAAACCTTCTATTCGGCCACCACTAACCAATGCTCACAAGCAGAAGCGGCTGCATTGGGCAGAAAAATACATGAAGACTAATTTTCAAACAGTCCTGTTCATTGATGAGTGCCGTGCAACCCTGGATAGTCCAGATGGACAGAGTAGTGGATGGTTGGTGGATGGCCACCCTGTTCCAACAAGGCTGTAACGTCAGCAAGGCGGTGGTGGAGTCATGTTTTGGGCCAGAATCATGAGAACAGAGCGGGTCGGCCCCTTTAGATCCCCAAAGGTGTAAAGATAACCTCTGAAAAGTATGTGGAGTTTATGACTGACCACTTTCTTCCCTGGTACAGAAGGAAGAACTATGCTTTCCGTAATAAAATCATCTTCATGCATGACAATGCACCATCTCATGCTGCAAAGAATACCTCTGCATCAATGGCTGTTATGGGGATAAAAGGAGAAAAAGTCATGGTGTGGCCTCCATCCTCCCCTGACCTCAATCCTATTGAGAACCTTTGGAGCATCCTCAAGCAAAAGATCTATGAGGGTGGGAGGCAGTTTACATCCAAACAGCAGCTCTGGGAGGCTATTCTGACATCTTGCAAACAAATTCAAGCAGAAACTGTCCAAAAACTCACAAGTTCAATGGATGCAAGACTTGTGAAGCTGCTATCAAATAACGGGTCCTATGTTACAATGTAACGTGACCTGTTAAAATGTTTAAAAAGTTAAACTGTTGTTAAAAGTTTGACTGAAATAGCTTTTGATTTAAGTAAATATGCTGCGAAACACAACAAATGACAATTTTCAGTTCTTTACAACCTATAAAGTGTTTTGAAACTTACTGTGCGTAATAATTTGGAACAGTGCATTGTAAGTGTTTTATGTTTTAAAAAAATACTGTTATCATTAGGAGGTTTGTTCAATAAAATTTGAATTGTACTCTTAATAGTTGATAACATGAGAATTATGCTGACTGTTATTTACATCAATTATTTAGGTAAATGAGAAAAATACCATTTACATAATAATTTGGAACACGGTGTATGTCGCCATTTTAGACGCTATAACTTTCACGTAAACCAATCAATTTACATGTATTGGGATTTTTTCAGCAGAGACATGTAGCAGAATACATTTTGGCCTAAATTTATGACGAAATTTATATAAAAAAAAATATTATTGGATATGTTTTCTAGCAAAAAGTCAAAAATATTGTGTTTTTTTCAATTGTCAGTCTTTTTTTGTTTATAGCGCAAAAAATAAAAAATGCAGAGGTGATCAAATACCACCAAAAGAAAGCTCTATTTGTGGAAAAAAAGAACATAAAATTATATTTATGTACAGAGTTGCATGACTGGCCAATTGTCAGTTAAAGAACGTAGCGCTGTCTCGCAAAAAATGGCCTGGTCAGGAAGGGGGGTAAATCCTTTGGAGGGCAAGTGGTTAATCTTGATGTACGTTGTTTATATTTTCCAGATCCATAGAGTAATCCATAAAACACAAAAGGTGCAGCGCTTAAATTCAAATAGTGTTAAAACTGAATAGATGCATAAAGATAGAATAAACCACCAGGGAAGGGAACTGAGAAGTGCCTTATCGGATGATCCAAGCGGAACCCCAGATGGACAGAGGTGCCCAGAGGGAAGCCCAGAGATGCTAGACAAGTCCCTAAGAGGATTCCATTTGAGACCTAGAGATGAGATTAGTCTTCTTAATGCATATTGGAATTATACATCTGGTGAGTGTATAATTCGAATATTTTATCACCAGAAGACACTCGAAGGACCACTACTTCTATATAGACTTTGGCACTATATTACGGCACTTACCAGTCACTTATTTATGCCTATTACTACTGTCTATTTAATTATCAGCATTTATTCTATCTTTATGCATCTATTCAGTTTTGACACCATTTGAATTTAAGTTCTGCACCTTTTGTGTTTTATTTATTATTGGAGGTTCATTGGTGCCTTTCGGTGTACAGCGGCTTTTTTCTAGTGCTCACTTTATCTCTCTATACCATAGAGTAATCCAGTGTGAAATGTTTTCTTTGTGTAGGAGTTTCCTCTAATAAAGACGGGTCTCTGCTGCTCTCACTCCTTGTGCAGGGTGGCTGGTTTTGTATCCGCCCCTCTGTAGTTTTCTGCAAACAGCCTGTAGTGAGTGGGGCCTTTTGGGTCCCTCCCACAGAAATGCTTTCTGCGCAGAGTATATTCAGCACGGTGATGATATCACTACTACTTTACTAGATAATATTTGGGTTTGCAATAGCATTTGGTGAATACAAAGTGGAATTCCATCCTTTGTTACCCGATAATGAACTTTAGCTTATACCTTAAGTGCAGTGACTTATGCAAAATAAAGTAACTCTTGGAGGGGAACGTACTAAGACTGGAGAAGAAAGAATCAGAAGGTAGCTGTGCATGGCAGCTTCTTGCTTTTATTTGCAAAGCTCGAAGAAACAAGCTGACGTTCTGTCACAGTTTTAGTAAATTCCCCCCCATGGCATTTAAAAGCAACCATTTCTGAATTAAATCTATTCATTTAGTATTTACTACTGTGATTAGTTGTGATTGGCCACAGCTAATCACATGGTACAGAAAAGTTGTGATTGTCCCTGTCTGTACTATGTGATCACTGTGACCAATCAGAGATCAACACAATAGTACACAATGAATGTATGCCATTCATTGTGTACAATTGTTATGTGATCTGCTGTGATTGGTCACAGTGATCACATGGTACCGGCAGCGGATCAGTACACTGATCTCTCATCCGCTGTGTCCAGTGGCCAAGAAGCTGTAATATGTGTGTTTATGGGAATCTGGCCAATCCCTGGGCAGGAGGCCTGGCAAAATGGCTGGGTCAGCCCATAAATATTGAAGAGCCTGGCCAGTGAGTCTGATGATTCGGTGGAAGGTGTAGTGCTGAGGATCGTGAGGCCTGGGTGGGGACCCAGGGAAGGGGGGCTCTGCCTCCAGGCTGGAGCTGCGGAAGGAGAGGAAAGGAAGCTGGAAAGAGGGAGCTCCACTACCCTGCAATCTAAAGGAGAAGACAGCCTGCCTAGCCTGGGAAAGACTAGCACAGCAAAAGGCCTGAAGGGAGTCTCACCCAAAGCAGGAGGATACAAGGGACAGTGAGTACCTCTACACCCCCAGGGCCTACAGGGGAGAAGGCTGCCAGATGCAATATCCAGCAAACTCTCATTAGGACAGCGTCACAGCTACCAAACTCTCTTGCTCTGGGACACTCTTCAAGGCAGACAGGTGGGCTAGTAGTATTGCTAACTTGGGCTTTGAGAGTTCATTTAACTGCCTCCCGCCCGCCATATAGTAATATGATGGATACAAGGCGGTTCTCTCATTCTGAGAGGATGTCATATGACGTCCTCCCATTCTCACCGCGCATGCACGGCTCCGGGAGTGCGCAGCGCGGCGATCGGTGGTGCGCTGTGTCCCTTGGACACAGCAGATCACCGATCCAAGGAAAGACCCGAAGATGTCGGCTCGGTCATGTGATCAGCTGTGTCCAATCACAGCTGATCACACGTAAACAGGGAAATGCCGGTTATCAGCATTCCTCAGAGGGGACATCTACACAGATCATCAGAGCACTGATGATCAGTGTGCCCTGATGATCTCTGTAGCCCCAGCAGCGCCACCTGTCAGTGTCCATCAGTGCCAGCTGTTTGCTCATCCATGCCACCTGCCAGTGCCCATCAGTGCCACATCAATGCCACATATCAGTGCCCATCTGAGCTGCCTTTTAGTGTCACCCATCAGTGCCAGTCAGTGCCACCTA